GTTTTTTCTTCCTATACAAAGCTGTTTCTAAAATGTGGAGGAATAAATCCAGCCCAGCCCATCTCTCTGCCAAAACTTCCCTGCAGGGTAGATGAGCAAAGCATTCTGAAATTCCTGCTCCTGAGTTTGGAGAGGGGCAGGTGGATATTCTACATTTAACTCCTTCATGCTCAATGAAGCATGTTACAGCTGTATAACTTATGTTTTCCTTGTATCTTCATACAAGGGAAACAAAACTGCCACTTAGATTTGAACTGAATAAGGCTGTGTGTATACAGTTGCTTCCAGAATAGGTAAGTATGTAGTCTAATTTCTACAAACAGATGGATTTTTTTTAAAAAAAGTTTCTTTGTGATTTAACATGTCTTCTGAATGACTGGGTAGACTGGCCATATGTATATTCAAAGTTCATTTGTGTGTGTATGTGCCTTCAGGCCAGTTGTTGACATATGGCAAACGGATGAATTTGATAGGGTTTTTCTAGGCCAGAAATACTCAGAGATGGTTTTGCCCTGCTCCTTCCTCTGAAATATAGCCTACAGCACCTGGTATTCGTTGGCAGTCTCCCATCCAAGTATAAACCAGGGCTGACCCTGCTTGGCTTCCAAGATCAGGTGGATCTGGTGCCTTTGGGGTATTTAGTAATTTACAGATGCTTAAACTGGAACATGCCTGTTTGTACATGGGGAAGCCCAACATTGTTCTGTTTTGAAGAGAGAGAAAAAGTGGCCAGATGGTAAGCTTTCTTTAAGCCTAAAAGTGTAGTCTCCTCACTCAGAAAAAACAGAGGGTGATAACCAAGTCAAAGGTCTCTCTGTATGTGGAGATTTTTCTCAGAGGAGGGAAATGCTCTTGAGTTGAGGCTGGAGGAGATGGGCACCCATTCTGTGGAGTTGATGCCAAAGAAGGACAAAGTCTTCTAACTGATCTGAGAGGCAACAGACAGCCTGGCAGCCATGGCTGGGCAAGCAAATACCTTTCGTGCCCATCATTTATGCAGCAGCTGGGCCCCAGCATTCTAGTGTCACAGAGCAGAGGGTGCATCTTGGCATTTATACAGCCTCCTTATATTCTCTTTGGCTCGATTTTTCCCTTTCACCTACTATTTAGAAAGTTGGTTTATGTACTGAATCAGTGTCTGGAAGCAATACTTGGCTGCATGAGTGCTAATGAGCTAGGCAGGGCGGAGGTAGTCTTGGTCAAGGTACAGAGACAGTCTGGCATAGCAATTTAATTTTGAATGAGATAGCACTCCCCTTGAAGAACATGGTTCTCCATCCAGACTCTGCTTTGTTCCTGGATGCCAGCCTGAGGCTACAGCTAGGAGTGAGTGCCTTTGCTCAGCTCAGGCTGGTCCACCAACTGCAACCAATCCTGGTGAGATTCAAAGATATAGCCGTGTTAGTCTGTAGAATCAGTACACAGAGAGATCTTGTAGTACCTTCAAGACTAACTGAAAGAAAGAAGTTGGCAGCATGAGCTTTCCT